ACACACACACACACACACACACACACACACACACACACACACACACATACATCTCCTGTAGTGGAAAAAGGACTTGAATAGGCTTCTCTGATGGCTGTCCTCTGCACTTACACTTTCTTGTTAAAGAAAAACCACACCTGGAATATATTCAGGCCCTAAAGTATCCTAAAAATATTAACGACTACTTTTCAATAACAGGAAACATGTGTGTTAGACATGTGTATTAGATACACACCCCTGAATGCTGAGAGGATTTCCTCCTTTGTTTATGTAAATCATACGACATTTCAGCATCCTGGGAAACTACAGATTTTCCTTGTAACTTCAGTTATAGATGTGATGAAGACCTATTTTTACTCCTGGTCTGTTTGTTTCCAAGCAGTTTATAGGATTATAAAAGCTCTCACACAATGGAGGAGCACTGTATATTCCCGAATGTAAACAGGAATGGACACGTCAGGAAAGTAAGTTCCATGGAATGTTTGTCATCGAAATGAACTGGCCAGGAGCCCCACCTGCAGTGACCCAAATCCCCACAAAATTCCCCTGCAGAGATCATGCTCTAAAGTATATAGTTACAGTCCCATCCTCTCTCGCTTCATTTCCACTATTAGTTTATTGCTTGCCCAGTTCTTGGCATCTGGCTAGTTTTTCTGGGCACCAAGCCCAGTTTGCTTTGATTTTAGTTTATTGTTATTGTCTCTAACATCCTAGTTTTGAGTCTGAATCAGGTGCCTTAAAATCATGTTATTATATACACATTATTATAGAATTAAATACAATTTTCCTTTTACAAAATCAAAATACTGAAACACTATACCACTTCAGACTATTTGTATACAAAACTTGAAGAAAATGTTATCTAATTCCTTCCTTGTTTTGGGAGATCCAGGCTGATTTAAAAAATCAAAGCCCTCAAATTTCATGTGTCCAGTGAAGACAGTAGTCTTCCAAGAAGTTAGTTGAAAGCAACTCTCCAAATGCAAACCAATTACCTGGATAAGAAATATCACAGTACTCTGATCAAGCCAATCAAATTATCAGCATAGATGATGGGACTGAGCTCCACCCCTGACAGAAGCATTTGTAGCCCCTGCTCATGCATCAGCAGCTGACCTTAAACCCTTGTTCATATTGGAAGCACTAATTGTAGTCAGTTATAAAGGCAAGGGAGAGCTGGAATGGAGGGGTGTGTGTGTGTGTGTGTGTATGAGAGAGAGAGGGAGAGAGAGAGAGAGAGAGAGAGAGAGAGAGAGATCAAAATACATTGCACATATGCATGATATTCTCAAAGAATAAATAATATATTCAAAAATAAATGTCACAGTTCTGTGTTCTTCATTACCAATGTAAAGTATGCTTTTCAATTAATTATTTTTAATAACTTTAAAGACCAAGTAACTACTGTAATTTATACTGTGCATTCAATAACTATGAAAGACAGACAGATAGTCATTTATAGTGGCAGGTGGGTATGAAAGTCTCAGGAGATACTGCAGTATCAGTCATCTTCCTTAGTTCTTAGCCCTAACTGAGCATCAGGAACACCTAGCCACTTGTACAGCAAATACAATGAACTGTGTGAATGAGAGCCCTTGGGAACATGGCCCCGACATACACATTTTAAATCTACTTAGTTAATTTCAAAGCTGACTGACTGCCAAGAACCACTAGACATATATCTATCCATTTAACAAATATTTAAGAAGCAATTATATTTTGTGAGTAACTCTAGGACTGAAGATAATTCAACTCTTCCTAGTGACCCATGGATAAGGTTGAGACATTGGAAAGTTATGCTTTTTGTAGAAAATTAGAGTATTTGGTATATGTTTGCTGTGCCTTATGAAATGGGCCATATTTTAAAATAGAAAGCTGCAAAAATCACAGATTTGAAAATAATGGATAGTGACTGTATTTCAAGAATTAAATGGCTTTAAACTGGACACATACTATATTTCCTAATATAATAAGACTACTGCATGCTACTAGCAAACACATTCAAAACCGTCTACATTAAAGTCTTATTTACTTAATTCTCATGTGATAATTTTAATTCTTTTATTGGGAACTAGAATGTGAACTCAGATGGCTCAATCTTTACCATTTATCTCATTTTCTTGAAAACAGGTGCCACAAGCTCCTCTTCTGATTGTTATATAATATTAAAATATTTTAGTAAAAAAAAAAAAGGAGATGGGATTCTAATCAAGAACTCTCAAGAATCAAGGTAGCAGCAGGAGGGATAAAAATTCTGCTGTGGAGAACTAAGCACATGGGGGAGGAGGGGTGATTCCTAACATGTAAAGCTGTCCGAGGTAAGATGAGAAAGGCTTTAAGAAATAAGACACACATTGGAGAAAGTCAAAGGGGCAGCATCTCCAGCAGTGATTCCCTAGCATGAATTTTCATGATTTCCCCCAACTGGCCTATGAATATAGAGGACTGAATTATACTATTAAAATGAAGTGGGATTTCAAAGCATTTAATACAATGCAAGCCCACTACCATGAAGTATAAAGCCTTAGATGGCCTTGGGTATAGCACTTGGGTGCTAAGGACATAACATTTCACTTTTCTTTCTGTCCACTAAGCTTTGGCTGTCATTTGCTCCTGGCAATGTCTGTCCTCCAGACTTCCTGCAAATGAGGTCCCCATTTCCTTTGTTTCCTCAGGGTTGTCTCTTGCTCACTGCTTTAATTTCAAACTACAAGTTTAGTTCACAGAAAGACTTGTCTGTGGTTACTTCATCCAAGTAAGTTTCTCTTATCACATTTCTACATTGAATGACGTTTGCATAAAAAAATCACATTTTTTTTTTCAATCCTGGACTCAATATTCACTGTTTGCTTCTCTGAGATGTTTGTGAAGAACCAAGTCAGACAGTTCACACATGCTGAGTCCCTAAACATATGTGATGTGGATAAATTTCCTCATGAATCTAAGCTGCTACCTACCAGTTTGTGAGAAAGGCTCCTACACACTTTTAAAAATAGTACGTAATGTTAGACATCTCTTTGGTGCAGTTTGATTTTTCTGTGACTAAGGCAGAAATTATGCATCATTTTTTTCATAGATAAGAAAACTCAGCCACAGAAAGAGATACATTGCCAAAGTCACAC